GCAGCAGTGGGAGTGAGTAAAAAATGTAGATGGGCTATAGTTGGATAAAGAAATTCACATAATATCTACTTACCAAGAATAAAAAGACACAGTTCATTTAACCTTCATTCTTGGGGAAATGAGTCTTTCCATTTATTTTTTTAAGAATAATTTATTAGCTTAGGATAAACCTCTTAATCACTTTCTGGTTTGATCATTTTTGTTAAAAGAATTTTGATACATAAATACCCAATTCACCTACTTTAGTGCATTTGGTAAGAAACATAAAATTATTTATTGATCTGACAGTGCTTTAACTTAATTCTGGTAAGGATTTAGCAATAAGTTACTGTTTAAAGGTTCATTAGCTCTTTTAGCTCAGTAGGGCACCCAGCTTTATAGTCATATTAAATAGCTCTCTTACAAAATGAATTTAACATACCTGTGAGATGTATTTTACTTCCCATTCAACCCTAGTATGCTTTTCAGACCTAATAAATTTGCGGACCGAATCTGGGGTTGGAGTCAGGTTGTGTTTCTTGTTAATTATATGACTTAAGTCAAATTTCCTAAAAAACTTGAAATTGCAGCTACATTATCTGGAAAATAATAATACATAGCCCACACAATTATGGGAATTAAATGAAATGAGGTAAATTTTAGAAAATTAGACACATGTGGTGCTTGGCACATAGTAACAATGAAATACTATTACTAGCCTTTCCGAAAAACATAGTCTAATATTTTAATCTCCCTCAAAGATCTTCTCAAACTCTTTAATCTTACCCCCAAACTTTATTACCAAAATTAATGTGTGGCTGTGTTAATAAAGGTAACACAACCAGGGGGGAAGTATAAGATTTTACATACAGGTAGTTGAGAATCATATGATGATATCCTGATTTCTCTCCATCTCCTTAACCCCCTTTCCGCATAAAGGGAACTTCTCAACCTAAGTTTCAAAACTTGTCACATTCTGTTACCATTTTGCCCATCCAGGCTTCTCTCTCTTTGGTTCCCATCTTTCTTCAAGGTGGATACTTTTCCCTCTTTGGACGGGACATGGATGTTTATGATACATGCCTTTTGCTCAGACTGCATCTCTTTCTCTGGATTTTTAAAGTCCAGCATGGCTATCTCAGGCTTCTTGGATCTCCATTGTTTATCTATTAACTCATGGACTTACTATTTGTCTATTCATTCATTTACAAGTCACTCATTTGTATAACAAACATCATGAGTTAACTATGTAATTTGAGATATGGATACTTAAAGTTGAAAAGAACATGATCTTAGCTTTCCAAGAGTTCACAGTCCTATTTGAGAGTTACCATAAAAAAGGTACACTGAAGGCATTGTGGGAGCCCATGGTAAGAAGTGCTGACTCTGAGGAGGTCAAACAGGTTGATGTTGATCCCTGCTGGGTCTAGGATATATAGATATTCTAGAGATGTTCATGAGAGAGACATGTGGAGGTAAAGGAAAGGATAAGTTATTGGTGGCAGAAGGAACAGCATGGAAAAAGACACATTGGTGAGGCAACAATATGGTAATCAGGAACTGTTACACCTCAGTGTGGCTGGGACAGATGTGCTCATGGGAGTGACAGAGAATGCATCTGCTAAAACTGGCAGAGTTTTAAGTAGGAGGAATTATATCTTTTATTAAGTTTAGAGAGGAGGATTTGAAAAAAGGGCCACGTTAGAGTTGGGAAGACCACAGAGAATACAATGATAATAGTTCAGATGAGAAATTGTGGAGTTCGTCACTAAGGCATTACTAGCAGGATGAGGTGACATATTCATATCAGTTTGGACCCAGGATAGATCATATGGAAGCTGGAATGACTCCTGGGTATATGTCCTGAGGAATTAGACAACTATAATAATAATTATCTATAATCATGAGATTAATAATTCACAAAAATGACTAGGTTGGATGGAGTTTAATTTGGGGCAACCAGGTGAAGATATTTAGTAAGTGGCTGAAGCGGAGGTCAATTCTTTTTTCTTTAAAATTAGTTTAAAATAAATATACACCTGTGAAACCATCACCACAGTCCACGCCACAAATATATCCATCATCTCCAAAAGTTTCCACCCACCCTTCGTTAAATTACTATTTTGTGATATGAACACTTAACATAAGATCGACCCTATTGGCAAAAATTTTATGTATATAATCAACATTATTAACTCTTAGCACTATGCTATACAGCTGATTTCTATGCTTTATTCTTCTTATATTACCGGAACTTTGTACCCCGAGGCCAATTATTCAGTAAACAATTATTGAGAGCTTATCATGTATGCTGAGACAAGTTATAGTTTTTATCCTTAAAGAGGACATTATGAGTGGAGAAAGAAAGAAGACTGTAACACAGAAAAGTTCTAATTGCCTACGAACTGGGTTATGGGAGAGTGTGGCAAAGAGAGGACAGCTCGATGTGGGTGGCTGGTGAAGTGTTCACAGGACAAATGATTCTGGCATTTAAATACAATTTTTATAGACAGAATGGGCGAGATACAAATGATATTCTAGGTAGGGAACAGAAAAGTTACTGAGGCATGAAGGAGCATAGAGCCCTTAGCGAATAACAAGTCACTCTGTGGCTGGAATGTAGAGCGGGTGAGTTTGTAGGTGGAATGGTGGACATAGGCCCTTAGTTTGTTTGTTTGTTTCTTTTGTTTTCTTTCTTTCTTTCTTTTTTTTTTTTTTGAGGCAGGACTTCAATTCAGTTTGAACTTTCCTGCTCAAAATTTTGCCAACAATTATTGCCTAGAACGAGAGTTCTGAGCAAATAATGCAGGTCAGGAAATACATAACAATTTCATGAAACATCAGAGGCATTGACAAAATTGTTGCTCTAATTCAAACAAGAAGTACTTTTTAAAAAAGATTTTATTTATTATTTATTTGACAGACAGGGATCACAAGTAGGCAGAGAGGCAGGCAGAAAGAGAGGAGGGGAAGCATGCTCCCTGCTGAGCAGAGAGCCCGACGCGCGGGGCTCGATGTGGGGCTCGATCCCAGGACCCCGGGATCATGACCTGAGCCAAAGGCAGAGGCTTTAAGCTACTGAGCCACCCAGGCGCCCCAAACAAGAAGTATTTGTTTTGAGGTTTGATAGACTCAGAATCTTGGGTTGAGTGATTAGTAGAATAGTTTATTGTGTGAAAGTTGGTTTTAAAATAATTTCCTTTCCTTCCTTTCACTTAAATTTCCCAAGTCTTCTCTCCTCAAGGAAAGGTTGTCTAGGGGTACAATAAGTATTTTTAAAATTTAATTCAAGAGTCAATTTCTCGACATTTATATTAGTAGAAAACAGGTCCTGGCTTGTAATTATGAATGAATATCAAATCATTTTAGACAAGAGGAATTAGACTCTTTAACAGTTTATGAAACCCCAAAGACAAGGACTTCTTTAGAATCTGTTTCTTCCTCTCCTCCATCTTTATGCTTCCCTTTCTCACTTACATTGCTCTATTTCTTGTGAAACTTGGCTCCTGGCCAGAGCATGTTTTCCCCTGAGTCCCTGAAGAATGCAAGTGAAGTAAACATGGCAGATTTCCAAGCAGAGGGAGCTTATGAAGAGTCAGCCAGCTCCTAAAACCATATGCAGTTTATGATGTATTCTTTAAAGTATTATGTCAATTATTTACCTACCCAAATATGTAGTTCAACGTTCGCAAAGGCTTTTGGCTGTTACCGTTACTCTATGGTATCTTTCAACTGTAAAATAGTTTAGTTTAGTCCCACCAAATTTTATTTGAATACTACTACATACAAGGCATGGTGCTGGTGAGCCAGGAAATTGAAGGTAACTTTGCTCTCTTCCTTCTCCCTTTGCTTCTTCTTGTATTTCATGTAATTCAAGAAACTAACCATCATAAAGATTAGTTGCTGGTGTGTTCACATGCATTATAAAATACCGAATCATTGGATGAATTATATATGACCAGTTTTTGGTTATCTGTGGGCACATCTAATTTGTGGCACAATTTCCTTTTGTAATTTGGTACTCGATGTCCAGTCATAGTTCTAGCCTAGGGATGGGTTCCCCGGCATCTGCCATAAGGCTGTGCCAGTTGATTGGAATGGCTCAACTCTTCCAAGTCATGTCCTCTCAAAATTTGGATATATTATCTATGTTTTCAAATATATTTCCTCTTGGTATTTATTTCATCATATGAAGTATTTCTCACTTGGGTTACTTTATTATTTAAGAAATTTCCAGTCATTGAATACCTAGAAAAAGAAAATGTTATTTGAATAAGAAAAGGTCTTACATACATAAATAATATTAATTTGATGAATTTTGAATGTCTAGGATAGGGAGAACATTAAATTTTGAATGCTTATGCTTATGTTTGTATAAGTAAATGTACTTTTAAGAAAGGAAATAAGGTGGAAATGATAATGTCATGTAGTCAATATAGCTTTTTAAATTTGCTTATTTTCTTACATAGCCTTTCCTAAATAACCATTGTTACCTTTTATTACTATATCAGCTCATTTATTCAGTTCAGTTGTGTCCACCCATAAGTGATTTAGGAAGAAAAATATGCCTTAAACGTAGTTATTGGTAAGGATTTGCTTTATAATTACTTTAAAAGTAAATGCGTACTGAAATTCAAATATTCCCCTGCTTCCCCACCCCGGCAATTTTTCACACACTGTGTATCTTGAATACCTCTGAAAAATGTTAGAAATGGGATAAATCTAGAATTGAATTCTGATATTCATATTAACCTTCCTTTCTTTTAGACACTCTATGAAGTTATGTGGAAATGAGAGAGAGTCATGAAACCCTTTCGCCCGGAGAGAATGTCTTTCATAAATGGAGCTTTGCTTCTGGTTTTCATGGGACTGTGACACGGCGGCGGAGCCATGGCTGCCCTGCCTGCTATTTTCAATAATTCACAGAACATCTGAACAGAGATGCTTGCCTTGAATTTACAGATTTTCATCCCGGTACCTTGTTTACTTCTTTGGGGCAGAAAAGCTTGCACTAATTGCTCTCCATGGTGGCTAATCTCTTCAAGAGCCTGATTTTACCTTACATACATAAGCTTTGCAAAGGAATGTTTACAAAGAAATTGGGAAATACAACCAAAAAAAAAGAGAATCATCCACAGAAAAAGGATCAAGACTTTCCCACTGCTGGCCAGACCAAAACCCCCAAATTTTCTAATACCTTAAAAAGCACTGTAAAGAAGATTGCAAAGTGTTCATCTACTCGCAACTTATCCACCGAAGAGGAGGGGGTTAATAAAGAGTTTTCCCTCTCGCCAACATTCAGTTACCGAGTAGCTATTGCCAATGGCCTCCGAAAGAACATTAATGTAACCAACGGTGATAATGAGGATCAGCTTCAAGAGTTATCTTCAATTGAGAGTTCCTATTCGGAATCACTCAATGAACTAAGGAGTAGTACAGAAAATCAGGTGCAATCAACACACACAATGCCAGTTAGACGCAATAGAAAGAGTTCAAGCAGCCTGGCCCCCTCTGAGGGCAGCTCCGATGGAGAACGCACTCTACATAGTTTGAAACTAGGAGCGTTACGCAAACTGAGAAAATGGAAGAAGAGTCAGGAGTGTGTCTCGTCAGATTCAGAGTTGAGCACAATGAAGAAAACCTGGGGAATAAGAAGTAAATCTTTGGACAGAACTGCACGAAACCCAAAGACAAATCCCCTGGAACCAGGTTTCAGTTCCTCTGGGTGCATTAGCCAGACACATGATGTCATGGAAATGATCTTTAAGGAACTTCAGGGTATAAGTCAGATTGAAACAGAACTTTCTGAACTACGAGGGCATGTCAATGCTCTCAAGCATTCCATCGATGAGATCTCCAGCAGTGTGGAGGTTGTACAAAGTGAAATCGAACAGCTACGTACAGGGTTTGTCCAGTCTCGAAGGGAAACCAGAGACATCCATGATTATATTAAACATTTAGGTCATATGGGTAGCAAGGCAAGCCTGAGATTTCTAAATGTGCCTGAAGAAAGATTCGAATACGTTGAAAGTGTGGTATATCAAATTCTAATAGATAAAATGGGTTTCTCAGATGCACCAAATGCTATTAAAATTGAATTTGCTCAAAGGATAGGGCACCAGAGGGACTGCCCAAATGCAAAACCTCGACCCATACTTGTGTACTTTGAAACCCCTCAGCAAAGGGATTCCGTCTTAAAAAAATCCTACAAACTCAAAGGAACAGGAATTGGAATCTCAACAGATATTCTTACTCATGATATAAGAGAAAGAAAAGAGAGAGGGATACCGTCCTCCCAGACATATGAGAGCATGGATATAAAGCTGTCTACTCCAGAGCCCAAAAGCAAGAAGAACAATTGGCAGTCACCTGATGACAGTGATGGAGAGCTGGAACCTGACCTCAATAGAAACAGTTACGCTGTGCTTTCCAAGTCAGAGTTTCCAACAAAAGGAAGTACTTCCAAGTCAAGTTCAAAATCACACAATGCTAGAGCCAAGAATAAAACTGCTAGTAGCAGCAGAATTTCAAATAAATCTGATTATGATAAAATTTCCTCACAATTGCCAGAATCAGATAATTTGGAAAAACAAACTGCAACCCGTTATGCAGATGCTACACCCCTCTGGCATTCACAGAGTGATTTTTTCACTGCTAAACTTAGTCGTTCTGAATCAGATTTTTCCAAACTGTGTCAGTCTTACTCAGAGGATTTTTCAGAAAACCAGTTTTTTACTAGAGCTAATGGAAGCTCCCTCCTGTCATCTTCAGACCGGGAACTTTGGCAGAGGAAACAGGAGGGCACACCTACCTTGTATGACAGTCTGCAGGATCAACATTTGAATGGGGCCATGGGAGGTGTGAAGAGTGAAACTGGGAACACAGAAACTGTGGATAGTGGAATGAATAATGGCATGGTGTGTGCATCTGGAGATCAAAGTCATTACAGTGATTCTCAGTTCTCTTTGCAGGAGGATCTTTCTCCTTGGAAGGAATGGAATCAAGCAGAGCAAGGAGCTGACTTAGGTTTGGATTCATCCACCCAGGAAGCTCTTGACTATGACACAAACAGTCTATCTGATCAGCAGCTGGACGTTTATAATAAAGACCTAGAAGACTTGGGAAAGTGCCACAGTGATGTTCAGGATGACTCTGAGAGCTATGATTTCACCCAAGATGACAACTCATCTCCGTGCCCTGGGATGGATAATGAACCACAAGGCCAGTGGGTTGGCCAGTATGATTCTTATCAGGAAACTAATTCTAATGAGCTGTACCAAAATCAAAACCAATTGCCCATGATGTATGGAAGTCAAAGTGAATTGCAAAGTGATGACTCAGAGGATGCCCCACCCAAATCATGGCATAGTCGATTAAGCATTGACCTTTCTGATAAGGCTTTCAGCTTTCCAAAATTTGGATCTACATTACAGAGGGCTAAATCAGCCTTGGAGGTGGTATGGAACAAAAGCACCCAGAGTCTCAGTGGGTATGAAGACAGTGGCTCTTCCTTAATGGGGAGATTTCGGACATTATCCCAATCAACTGCAAATGAATCAAGTACCACCCTTGACTCTGATGTCTACACAGAGCCTTTTTACTACAAAGCAGAGGATGAGGAGGACTATAGTGAACCAGTGGCTGATAACGAGACAGATTATGTTGAAGTGATGGAACAAGTCCTTGCTAAGCTAGAAAATAGGACTAGTATGACTGAAACAGATGAGCAAATGCAGGTATATGATCACCCTTCATATGAAACACCCTATGAAACTCCACAAGATGAGGTTTATGATGGGCAGGGAGATGATGTGGTTAGTGAAGGGGGATTGGAACCCTTAAATGAAACATCAACTGAAATGGAAATAAAAGAAGATGAAAACCAAAACATCCCTGAACAGCCAGTGGAAATCACAAAGCCAAAGAGAATCCATCCCTCTTTCAAAGAAGCAGCTTTAAAAGCTTATAAGAAGCAAATGGCAGAACTGGAAGAGAAGATCTTGGCTGGAGGTACTCATGTTTATGTGCTACATTTTGAGCTAGTTGTATTTTAACATTGGGTGGTCGGTGCTTCTTTAGAGTATGTTCTGTGTTTACTCTTTGGAAAAGAATGTATTTGCAAGAAATTTGCATGTTTATTTTGAAAAGGGTATTATTTTACTCTGCTCCCCCAACAGGCTGGGCTTGATGATTTAAAATCAAAGTGTTTTCAAGTAGTTCATACTGAAATGAGCCCTACTGTCTGTGGATCGAGATTTCTCTATTAGCATTGGTACAAACCCCATTTCATATTAACTAACTTTGTGGCATTAGTCAAGAAAAAGAGTGTGAGTGTGAGTAAAATCAAAGAGCAGCCTGGGATTTTTCTTTGGTTCTAATAGGTTTATAGGGATGAGGAGAATGATGTAGTTAATCTTAAAGAATTAGGAACGTTGGACCTCCAGGATAATGACTCCCTTTCCCATCAAATCTATAGTTTGGGGCCTGCCAGTAGGAAGAGGTGGGTTTGCACAGCCAACCCTAACCAGCCCCATGGAGAACCGCTGCCTCCCTCACTGTTTATTGATGGAATTGAGGGAGTACACTAGAGGCAAAACCCTAGGCCATGCCTGAATGGTCATGAGTCACTCTTTGAGTAGGAGTCAATATTGAGTAGAGTCAAGTTCCCCTCTAAGGAGTGGATTGGAAATCTCTCCACACTTACGGAAATGAAAAGAGTACCTTATTTAACAGTTTTACTTGATTTTCTGGGGGAACAATTTTGGATCACACACGTGAAAATTAGCCACTCAGAAATAAGAACTTTTTTTTTTAACTTTTTATTTTCATTTAAACTTCACTCACACTTACCCAATCCCTTACCATTTATTTTATTTGCATGCTTATCATTTTATATCTCTGGGATAGTTTGATTATCTCAGTTGTAATGAATTATATGTTTTAAAATTTTCATTATTTATGGTATTATAATCTTTAACTGAAGTATTTACATAATATTTCATAAAGGTATATATTTACGTGATTAACTGGTACTTGCCATTATGAGGTAATTTAACAATTTCTGCTGCTAGTAGCTGATTATAGCATCCTTGTCTTGAACAAAATTGTGATCAGACACTCTTCCAAACTGGTCATTTTCTCATTGATATGGGTGGATTCTTGAATAATCAGAAAATTTTATTGTTAAACTGTTTTAGGCCCTAAGGTAATTGAAATAACAATTAAGGTTATCTGCTCTAAACAAATATGTTTATATAAAACAACACACCCTATTAATTTAAGTACAACCTAAGTCAGAGGGATCTTGTGTACATTGGCTGTGACTTTGTTGTTGTTTTCAGGAAGTAATTCTCATCTACATTTAAAACAACTGTGAAAGTAGGGAATAGTCAAAATTTTGTGCAAATAGCAATTCATATTAGAATAATAACTCTCTTATTTAAGAGTGATATTTAATATCCTTATGACTGAAACTCAGTTAATAGTTTCTTGGGATAAAGGCCAGCAGTTTGCCATTGTATTTTATTTGCTGTGGGTTCAGAGAAGTCTACTCAAGAGCATATTAAGACTAACCAGTGTGTGTGCATGTGTGTCGTGTCGTGATATAATCGATGTTTTAATGTCAAGTGGTTAAAATATTTGAAATATTAGGCAGTATTATAAATATTACAAAACCATATGTTTCAGAAAAAAAAGGATCTTCATTAACTTTGAAAAATTCCAAATTAGCAAGCATCTACAAAATAGATTGCTATGGGGATTGCCCCTTCAAGTAGTTAACAACCTTAATCATCCAGGTGCACTTAATCTTAGAGAACAGAAATTCACTTAGTAGCTATACATCACTGATTTAAGAATCCTCAAATAGGTAAGAAGATGTTGAACCGTAAAGCTGACTCACTAGCCATGGCTACTGAGGACCTAGACCCCCTCCACCATCTTGGAGCTTGGCTTGTTATCCTTGAGCCAGCTTTGAATGGAATCTGTTGGGGATCATCTGTCCTAGAGGAAATCAGACACACATCCTTAAGATGCTCTTTGGTGGCTTGAAAGGCACCAGATTGACTACCCAGGAGGCTGCAGTAGCCTAGATTTTAAAGGCCATCTTTTCTCCCTTTGGCAGGAGTCAGGCAGTTGTCTCCCTCCTGTGCCACCAATATGCCTCAGGAGAAAGGGCAGCCAAAGAAGGGCATTTTTCAGGCCCCTTCACTGCTCCAAGCATCCCAATGAGGTGCCAATCGTCATGATGGATTTTGTGCCCAAGGCCATCTGCTTACTGGGCTTTGGGCAGATGCCAACAGATTTTTCTCTCCATGACTACCTAGTCATCATTGGGTAGCAGTGCTGTCTTTTTTCCATTACTAATCTGGCAAGATTAGACTGTAGAGCTCTTGCTGTAAAACTCCATGGGATACTGTTTCCCTGATAGAGCTTTATGGAATTATAAGCTCATAAATGTGAATTATTTCAACTTTTGTCTATAGGGTCCTGGTAAAGAGGAATTCTAAAAACCCCAGTATTTATACATATGGATATTTGGTCGTATTGTTTTTGAGGGCCTTCACCTTGAATAGCCAGTGGGAAAGAGATTTTGGACTATGTGTAGCCAGAAACTCCATGAGATCATCTTCTTCCCCTGTTGCTGAACCCTGCTGAGTGGTGCCTTTTGTGTAGCTGGCCTAAACCCTATACCATGATAGTGACTCGGATCTCCCACCTCCAGCCCTGTATCACCCATCAGGTGGAATTAACTATTGTCTCTTCTGAATTCCCAGATACTTGCCTCTTATGGTACTGGCTTCCGTCTTACATAATGACAGTTTGTGCACATTTCTCATTTGCTCTTCTAAAGTAATCTAGAGATGAGAGGTTTGTCTTCTTCTTCTTCTTCTTCTTCTTTTTTTTTTTTTTTGCACTGTGCCTAGATCCGTGCTTTATACAGAGTTGGCACTGAGTTAATATGTGTTGGATTAAAGTCTGAATCAATTGGAACAGAATGCTAAATTAAAAAATGCAACAAGCTTCAAAGTCACATCAAAATCTAAAGTGTGGCCTTAATTGCTAAGACTATGACTTTATTTTTTGAGAATTCAGAAGTATGATTAGAAATGGAAGATTATCATTATTAAATAGTAAATTTTTAAATTTGAGTATACTTGACATACAATCTTATATTAGTTTCAGTGTACCACGTAATGATTTGACAACTTCTACATTATGCTGTGCTCACCACAAGTGTTGCTACCATCTATCACCGTGCAGTGCTCTTACGGTACCATTGACTTTGTTCCCTATGCTGTGCCTTTTATTTCCATGATGTATTCATTCCGTAACTGGAAGCTGACATCTCCCCCACTCCCCTTCACCGATTTTGTCTATTCCTGCATCCCTCTCCTCTCTGGTGAACATCAGTTTGTTCTCTGTGTTTGTAGGTCTGGTTCTGCTTTTTGTTTGTTCATTTATTTTTTTATTTTTTTGTTAGAGTCTCCTGATGAGTGGAATCCTGTAGTATTTGTCTTTCTCAGTCTGACTTATTTTACTTAGTATAATACTCTCTAGGTGTGTCCTCATTGTCACAAATGGCTAGATCTCATCCTTTTTTTTAATAGCTGCATGATATTTGTGTGTGCATGCACCAACACACACCCCTCATCTTCCTTGCCCATTAATCAATCGATGGACCCTTAGATTGCTGGTTTTGTTGACTATTATAAATAATGCTACAATAAACAGAAGGGGTGCATTTATCTTTTTGAACTAGTAAGAGCTAGTTCAAACTAGAACTAATAAGAGTATTATTGAATACTACTATGTACCAGATATTTTCCAGGCAGTTTCTCTGTTTTTATTTTTACTTCTTACAATACCACAATGAATTCAATTCCATGGTTATTCCATTTTACAAGTGAGGAAACTGAGATGCTGAAAACATGCATGACTTACCTGATGTCTTACAGATAGGAAGGGGTGGATCTAGAGTTAAAGAGATGGTTATTTTAGTTATTTAGAGAGCCATATCCTTACTTCAGAGCTGGTTTATTCACTTTTTAAGGTGGAAAAACATGCTGGGAAAGGGACAGCACTAGCCGCAGGTTTGTTGCAACTAAAGGATTTTCTTTAAAAAACAGTAATAATATGAAAGGCACTGGGGTTGATATAAAATAGTTCATTCACAGTTTTTCTGCCTCAAGTCCCTGGTACATCTTATAAATCAAGACTTGTAGAGCCCAATAAATACAGTACAATAGCAGCTCAAAGGATGATGTATTTGATGTCTGGGTATACTTGACCTGGAATTAGAGTCTAACATGAGTTTGAAGTAAATTTTCTTTAGCAGAACAAAAATCTTGTTTTGTTTTGAAATGCCATTCCCAGGCTGTCTGTAGACTCTGAAAGAGACTGTGACACCTGTAATTAACATAACTGATATTTTTACCATGGTGTGCCTTTTGTTTTCTAGTAGTTGTAGAAATATTGTAGAAATATGTAGAAATAAGTAGTTGTGGAAATATTTTGGCTCCAACAAAGATATGAAATTAGATGTAGAATGTTTCCCTCAAGTTCAGACTTCATTATATTAGACCAGTGGTTCCTAATCTAGCTGATTGTTGGAATCATCTGGAGAGCTTTTGTAGTACTTGTTCCCAAGAGTTGTTGTAAAATTATTAATTATATATATTAGGATTATATCTATAATATTAATTATACATATTAGGATTAATTAATATATATGTGTATGTATATGTATACATATTAGGATCCTGTCACTAAATGTTTTGATTCTGTGGTTCTGTATTGGGGCCCATGGATCTTTATCCAAAACTGTATGTGTTATTGATGAATTATATGTGCCCTTGTAAATAACACACACATACACACAAATAAATCCAGAAAATTCCAAAGTAAAAAGTAAAAATAACAACTTCTATTCTTCAGAGAAAGATAATTTATTTCTGGCACTCTATAAGCACACATACACTTCTTTTCTTTTTGTTAACATAAACAGTATT